GAAAGAGCGAGAGCCACGTGATCAGTGCTGCAGAGAAGGGTGTGCTGCTCACAAAGGGCGTGCGAGGAAGCAGGACACGAGCCCTGCCCTGGGCCAGGCCCCCTGGACAATCCCAGCAGGCTCAGGGCAAGGGGGGCTTCTTCAGCAAACCCCCGCTGCAGCTCCAAGAGTGCTCAAGGGACAGCCACGCTCCCCCCGAGAGCCCAGGACCCCTCGGCTTGCTCCCCGGGATGCTGTGTGCACCCCTCTGCTGTCCCCCCTGCCCCCCCCGGGCTCAGCCTGCAGCACAGCTCATCCTCCTGGCAGGGAAGGGATGAGGAACGAGCCAGCTGTGCTTCAGATTGAGCTCTAGGGCTGTTTCCAACCGCGGCGGAGCTTCATGTGTGGGTTAGCAGTGGAAGAGGGACAGGAGCTTTGGGGAAAAGCCTGCCTTGTCCCGCAGCCAGCGCCCCACAGGGGGGAATACCCAAGGACCAGCAGAGCGCAAAAGAGGCTTCTCTGACTGTCACAGCCCCGCTCAGCCCAGGGATTCAAGCCCCGAGCTGTGGTTTCCAGCACGGAGCTGTAATCCCTCCCGGAGACGCTTCCTCTGCCTCCTCTGGAACATCACGTGTGCCTGAAGTCCCTGCTCCAGAAAGGCTTTTCCCATCTCCACCACCACTGGCCACGACAGTGTATTTCTCGTACTCCCCAACACCTAATCAACTTTCTCTCTACAGCTGCCACTAAAGCATCTTTGATATGACAGCTCCTCTCCACTGCAAATCTCTACTCCATTGCATCCCTCAGGTCGCTGGGCTGGAGCTGCAGGAGACCCACGGGCACGGGCAAGCTCTGGCAAACCCCTGCAAGCTACAGCAGCCCGTTTCTCTGGTAAGGGCAAGGCTCCAGGTCTGTCAGCCCCCCTGAGCCCCCCGAGGGGAATTCTCTCTCCCCATGGCCTCTCCAGGTACCAGAGCACATAACACTGCTCTCGGCAACGGAAATGGGTTGATGTCCCTTCCCATGGACACTGTCACCACTGGAGGCAGGTTCTCAGCCCCGTGGCCAGCTCTAGCTGAGTTGGCCGGTAGCCCATCCCCCTTCCTGAGCACAGGCTCTGCTTTCAAAGCAGCGATGCTCCATACCTACAAAAAGAACGAGGCAGGGGCCCTCATTCAGCTGCACAGCGTTGGAGTCCGTCAGCTCCAGCACGGGCTTGGGGTGCCAGGGGAACTCGCGGCATTCGACGTCGTTCAGCACCTCCACCCGCCCCTGCCGCGTGATCACATCTCCCTTGGGGTCCAGGACGATGAGAGTTGGGATGCCTGCGACGGAAGAAAAACAGGAGGGATCAGCCAAAGCGCGAACCGGCCAGCGACAGGGCGTGGGGAGAACGGCCTTTTCCTATCGCCTCCGGCTCTGGCAGGAGCCCATGAGCATGCTGCGTCTCCGCAGCTCATGCACAGTGCGGGAATCGGGGTCCCTGGATCCTGTTTCCATCCTAGCAAAGGGCTGTAATTCAGCAGCCAGAGCAGGAAGCTGGGAGACAGGCTCTGTCATTGCCTGCCCTTCCCTGCCCAAGTGCAGGCAGGGATCACCACCATCTGGTGCTCCTGGATGCAAACCCCACCACACCATGCAGGGACCCTCCTTGCAGGCTCCCTCTATGCAAAGTGCCAGACAGAGGTGCCTCCTGCGCACAGGGCAAAGCAGCGCTGCCACGCAGGCACCACCACCCCAGCGCTGAGACATGGCTGCTGCTGGAAGAGCCTGGTCCCCAGTTCGCATGAACACACGCAAACCTTTTTTGCAGGGTGGACCGCAGGCAATGGCGGCCAGGAAGCAGGGTGTGTTCCTTCCCAGAAGGAACGCCATATATTTTAGCAGCCACAAAGTCCTCCATAAACCCCCACACCCCTCCAGCACTCAGCAGTAATCACCCAGCCATTTCAAGAGCACAGGGACATATCTAATGAGTCATGGATATTATTACCTGGTTCGGACACCGTTTCACACCACCTGAGCCCGGCGAGGCACCCGACACTGCGGGTGGAGGAAAGGCCCCCGGACTGAGCGGCAGCTGCACAGCAGTAATGAAGCCGTGCAGGAACGTCCAGGGTCTACTGGATCATGGCACTGGGCAGGATGGGGCTCAGGGGACACCTGCTGAGCTTCTGGCCCTTGGGACAAAGCCACATTTTGTCCCAAGCTATGGGGCTGGTAAGCCCCATCCTAAAGGAGAAGCCTTTGTAAGGGAGGTGAACACGCTTGCAGCAGAGATTTAGCACAAGTCACATATTCAAATGTGGCCAGGCTGGCAGTGGGACAGGGTGGACACCAGCTGGTGACCGTCCCATCTGATAAGGCACCGACGAGGCTTTCCGGCCACAAAACAGTCACGGGCAAATCAACAGAAGAAGCTCATGTTGGTGACTTCATCTGGAAAGCACACCACTCCTCTCTCATCACAGAGACAAAGAAACATCCCACAAGGAAGGAAGAGGGGAGAGTTTGGGATCAGGCCCCAAGAGATGAGTGATGTGACTAGTGTCAGTGCCAGGCGCTGCTGTCTGCTTCTCGTCATCGAGACTTTGATCCGCTCGCTATCCAGCATCTCCTCCTTCACCCAGCAACAGCCCCTAAACCACAACTGGGAAACCAAGGCAATTCAGATCCTCCTGCCCTCATCCAAAGGTTCATTTTAAGCTCATTTGTTAGAAATAACCTGAAGAGCCATTCTCTGAGCAGGAGGGACCCAGTGTGCTTGCCTCTGTCAGATTCCTGCCACTGTGCTCCCGTGTTTGTACAACAGTGGGTTACTCACAAGCCCTCTGAATTCTAGGCATTTCTCTAGGAAATACATGGCCGTCTGTCTGTCCCACGCCTGCCTGCAGGTCCGGGA